AAAAACAAATGGTCGAAGCCGGTCTCTCTACAGAGTCACTATAGAGCCACTGCCTTCAACAGTTTCTGTTAAGGTGCACTTTGGACGCTCTTGAATAAGGGATCACTCAGACACGAGAAGTGTCTGCTCAGCTGTAAACTCCGCCAACGTGTTAGTCAGGCTTTGTCATTTCTTTTTGGAGGGTTCTGCTGCCTGTAGCCCCTCAATGTAGTGACGTTACTGCACTCTCAGACGCCTCGCCCGGATTGCCCAAGCTGTGAAGGTCGGAAGCCGCAGACCCCAAATCCTAAAGAGTTTATGGTTGAAGGTGAAGGCGGAGGCAAACCCGATTTTCGGCTCTGCACCCTATACAAACTCTATACCTGGAAACCTTACCCCTGCACCCTACAAACCCCTAAAACCCTAGGCCCTGAATCCTAAACCCTAAACTCTAAACCTAAACCCCTAAAACCCTAGGCCCTGAACCCTAAACCCCTGACCTCTGGTCCTGCAAGCCCCGAACCGCAGCCTTTGTAAGAGGCCTTGCAGGAACCCTGGTAGCAACGCTTGTCAGAACCCCTAAACCTTTCAAACCCATTGACCCTATATAAGCCCTAATTAACCCCTAAACACTTCAAGTCCTTTAAACTATGAGCCCCCTAAAGCCTATAAGCCCTAAATTCTAAACCCTCTGAGCCCCAAACCCCACAAAACTTGTCGCCGTAACCCCTATGCCACATTCCCAAACCCTTTATGCCCTAAAAAATAAGCCTTGAACTTTGAAGCTTCGCTAAGCCCTAACCCGTACGTTCACCAACCAGGTACTAGCTGGGTTTAGGGTTTCGGGTTTAGGTCTTCAGCATAATTTTAGGGTATGACATACCCCTACCATCCCGTTGAAACCGCGGCCCCTACATGATTGCAGCAGGCACGTCCCTCGGACTTTCAGCTTGCCGACAACACAAAGAAAGGCCGCTACATTAATCATTGAATAACATACACCAAAGCCCTATATTCTAAGCATGAAGGCCCCCTACAGTATTGCATCCAGGTTGGCATCTCGAAGTCCAAGGTCATGTGCTGCGAGAAGGAGATCAGAGTCTTGTCATACTTACCGTGATATATAAATATATATATACACACATACATGTACGTATATCGATATGTGTGTGTACGTTCATGGCGGGCACCATATATATATATATATATAAATGTATGTATGTACGTATGTATGTATGTATGTATGTATGTATGTATGCATGTATGTCTGGTTATCAGATAACCACCATAGTGCAGAATAGCATGATGTGGTAGATAATCATTACCTACTACATCATACGATTCTGCACTATGTTGTAATCTACAATATTGACCCATGATGCTACAACATAGATCAGATCGCGATATCAGTGACATGGGCTTTCTACTCCGTAAGACCGGATCTTCGACGTCTCTTGCGGTTTTGATTATGGGTTCAGCATTTATCGGTTTGGGGTTCGGAGTTCCGGAGTTCGGGTTTAGGAGTTCGGGGTTCAGGCATTTTCAGTCAAGGTTCGGGGTTCAGGGGCTTGGGATTGAGCGAATTTTAGCGGTTGGTACGGCATACTGTTCAGCTGCAGGGCCGCCTGAAGGCAGCAGCAAGTAGTTTTGTTCTAAGCTAGATATGCAGAAACTATGACTCGGACCGTTGGCAAAGGAGTCCTTCGTTGCAAAACGTCGCCTGGAATGATCCCTCCTTTTACTAGACCCTGAATTGTTAATATAGGGGCCTCAGTAATTGCCTATACTATTTTGGGCGGTTCCATGATTATAGTATAATGGGCCCCAAAACCCTATTCTAATCATTCAGGCCCCCGCATTAGTTGGGGGATGGCGGAGTCTCGGGACACAAGCTTTTTGAGACTCCCGCACCCATCTTGCAGAGACAGTACGCCCCGGTCCCTCTAAACCCTCTATCCACCCCCCAATATGCCACAAAGAGTCTAGAGTATCTTTACAAGAGCCCCTGTAGAGAAACCAAGAATCAACCCTTGCTCACCTTCATCCCTCTAACCCTAGACCTATAGAACATAGACCCCAGCCCACGAACCATCCCTTTCGGGACCTTATCAACACAAACCCGCAGGAGAAGCTTCGCCAACTGTGCGCGCCTCACTCCGGGGATGCAGGAGATGCGAAGTTGATGGGTCACCTGGACCCCAAAGAACCTGCCTTTTTAGGGCTCCTTATTATAGTTTCTTTATCTAAGCCCTGAAAAAGGTAGGTTCTTCAGGGTCCAGGTAGGGTTTACGGTTCAGGGTTTAGGGACCAGGGGACTTGGTAAGGTATGACGTTTTATTTTAATGGTTCAATGTAGGGTTTCTAGATTAGGAAGCAATATCATGATTTGGGGAAGTATCCCGCATAATAGTACCTAGGACCCTTTGGGAGGCAAAGCACCAAAGCCGGTGACCCAGGCTTGTCGACATGGCGGGAAGCCGCTTTCCCACGAACACGTCCTTCGCTCCGGCTGCTTACCCTGCAGGAAACCGCTGTCCGAGCCCAGAGCATGTTACAGGGTTGATGATTCGGGGTTCAGGGTTCCGCAGAGTTTGGGGGGCACCAGCGTCGAGGTGAGTTCAAGGACTACTCCCGATCTGACTTCATGTCGAATATGTAGACTTTCTGCTCCCGGGGACCTTTTCAAGGAATCCACAAAAGGCATCCTGGTACCAGGGTTGAGGAGGTGTGTTCCCTCAGTTCTAAGGGACTAAAACCCTAAACCGCAGGGCCCTTTAAGGGCAGATTGCTTCCTGAGGTACCCGGCTGGGCCGGGTCGCTGTCGAAGCGGCAAGATGAACCTGCTGAGGGTGACAGCTTGCCCATGGCCTTTGAGGGTTTAGGGTTTAGGGCCTTTTAGGGTTTAGGTTTTAGGGTTTACAGTTTAGAGTTTAGGGTTTAGGGTTTAGGCTTCAAAATTCGGAGTTCCATTTCAGGCTAAGGCTTACTGAATAGGGTTTTTGGTGATGGTTGAGGGTTTAGAGAAGAAGGGTATAGCTACGTTGGGAGCGTCCGGAGCAGAGGACCGAGGGAGCCGATTCAAGAGGAAGGGAGGGTCTTGGAATTGAGGGTTTGGGTTTAGGGTTTAGGGTTTAGGGTTGGGGATTCAAAGCAGGTTCGGGACCGGCGCTCCAAGGTTCCGGAATTTGGGTTTAGGGCACCCTGAACATAGGCATGTTGATGCTTGGCGACATCCCGTACCTGCACAGAGATCCGAGATTTAGCATACAGGGGTCCAAGGCGAGGCAAGAGCGACATGTGGGTGAAATGGGCTTTGACTTAGCCCTTGTGTGGCGTTTGAGCAAGAGGCTTCAAGTATGGGTTCGCACATGGAGCAGCTGGGTTTTTGTTAAGGAACGTGATTCCAGGCCGTCTTTTCTTTCCACAGGTGTAGGGCTTCGGAGCGCTACGAATTCGGAATCATCTTCTTGAAGAGCGGGTTCCTCGGTCCAGTCTGAATTTAGACGCATGCCTGGCCCACAACTCCCCCTCCCCAATATGAAGCCCTATGTAGATCCAGTATGCAAGAGTACATGTGTCCTGCACCTTGGCTGCAAGCATGCGCCATGAGCCCGAAACCAGACGCCCTGCTGCCTCAAAAAAAACAGCTGATTCAGCTGAGCGTGGCCTTCTGATTGAGAAACACCGAGTCTTTCAGTGCCTTAGTTGTCGTATTTGTTTGAAGATGCCCAGAAAGATACGCCTCTTGTCGGTAGCCTTTATTTATTTGAAGCAGGGGAACCCCAAATCCTAAACCCTCGGGGTTTACATTCGAGGTCCACTGTAATTAAACCCCAAAACCTGAAACGGCTCAGGTCCCCGTTGACCGTCACCTTGAGAAAGGCCTCGTGGGTTCAATTTTTGGGGTTTGGGGTCTAGGGTCCAGCGTTGAGGACTTCGGGTGGATGGATGTTTTCAGGTTTGGAGCTCGCGGTTCACAGTTTTCAGGGTTCAGGGTTCAGGCTTTACTGCTTTGGCTGTGGATTCAAAAACCTACTGTTTCATGAGTAGGCCCGATTTGCCTACAGCCTACTATTCTGAAGGGTTGGGGGCTGGGGGAAGAGTTTGAGATAGATACCTTGCTGTCGAGGTCTGGGCTTACATTGTCAAGTCCCGGGTTCAGAGATTAACCGTAAGCCATGTAAACCTAGACCAACTCTAACCACTCAACCCTAAACCCTTTTTCCCTAAACCCTCAAAAAAACCGCCCTAAAAATACAACCCTGAACCCTAAACCCTAAAAAAAAAAGTGAACCCTAAACCCTAAAAAACAAAACCTGAACCCTAAACCCTAAAAGCAAAACCTGAAGCCTAAACCCTACCCCGAAGCCCGGGCGTCTGATGGCCGCGAAGTGGCCCGAAGCCTTCAACACAAAGCTTTAGGGTTTAGGGTTTAGGGTTTAGGGTTTAGGGTTTAGGGTTTAGGGTACTCTAGATTCCCAACCATCGAAGTCTGTGAGGTCGAGGCTCGGGGTGCGTACAACACTGTAGACAGGGTGGGATACTTTAAGCCAGAAATCAAGATTCAGAAACTCCCTTAAACCCTTAACCCTGGACCCTAAATCCCCTGAACGCCTTCAATATAGCAGCCTACATAACTACAAATCTTAGTCTCTGGTTATGAGAGTTGTGCTATAAAGCCGCCCACAACCCTAGGTAGAGCCTGGTTCTACTCATAATACGGCCCGTAGTTGGGACCCTATGATAGATCCCATCTAAAACCCTGTAAGGATCCCGTTAATGGAACCCTGGCCTAATTATCAAGGCCGCCCAAACCTTATTCTAATCATGAAGGCCCCCTACTAAACCCTAAAACCCTAGACCCTAAACCCTAAACCCTTAAACCCCAAACCCCTAAACCCCAAACCCTAAACCCTAAACCCCTAAACCCTAAACCCTAAACCCTTAAAATTTAAGCCCTAAGCCCTAAACCCCTAAACCCTAAACCCTTAAAACCCTAAACCCCAAACCCTAAACCGAAGGGAGCCCGGGACTTGGCGGATGCCGGTGGGGACTTGGCTCGGCTTCGAGGCATCGGCGGTGGGAGTTCTCAAGCTCGGGGCTTCGGCGTGTTTCGAAAAAAGCCGTTAGTTAAAGTTGGTTTAGGGTTTAGGGTTTAGGGTTTAGGGTTTAGTTAGATTCTTAGAGTAAAAGAGGCGAATACTACTTATGTTAGATGTTGGTTTGATAAAAGGTTTTTGAAACTGGGCTTAAAAGGGACATGCGTTAAATCAGACTTGGGTTATGAGAGTTGGGATCATGAGGGATGTACTTTTGATCATATTCGGGATACACCTAGTGGTTAAACTTCGGTTAAACTTTTGTTACTAAACCCTAAACCCTAAACCCTAAACCCTAAACCCTAAACCCCTAAACCCTAAACCCTAAACCCTAAAGGTCGAGTTTCTGGATTGCGAGCTGCATTCTCAGGAGACCTGTGGTTTCGCAATGGCTCTGGTCAAAACTCTAGACCCTGGAGGTTTAGGGTTTAGGGTTTAGGGTTTAGGGTTTAGGGTTTAGGGTTTAGGGTGACCCTGGAGGGCCCAAAGAAAGCAAACCCTAAGCCGTCTTCCGGGCTTTGGGTCGCTTTTGATGCTTTTTTGGGGTAAGGAAACCTTTTGAAGGGCTTCTGATATGGAAGATGTATGGAAATAGATGTTGGTGCTTAAGAGTTCGAGTTCCTAAACCCTAAACCCTAAACCGTGGCTCTTAGGGTTTAGGGTTTAGGGTTAAGGGTTTAGGGTTCGATGGATCTTAGACAGCTTGTGAGGTTTAGGGGGGGTCAGTCCGCAGGTCGTCAGAAGACGGCTTTGTGTTAGCGTAGGGCTCAAACCTATAAACCCCAAGCCCTGAACCCTAAGATGGGGGCCTTAGTAATTAGAATAGGGTGGCTCATTATATACTGTGATCATAATAAGGAACCGCCCCAAAATAGTGTAGGTAATCATTAAGGCCCCTACATTACTCAGGGTTCAGAGGAGTGCACAAGACATGGGCTTGGTTTGAACAAAACAGCGCTAAACCTTAAATTCAAAATAAGGATATGATAGGGCAGTTTAGGGTTGACAGCGCTAGCCTTTGGGGTTGTTGTGGGTTTGTGTGTTTATCTCAGGTTGGAGGACTTTTCGGAACGAAGCTTTCTTGGCCAATCTCAACAGACTTTTCAACAATCTTGCAGGTTTGCAGCAAACCCTGTATCCAAAATCCTAAAGCACGACAATCTCAACGCAAAAATCTTACACAACAACCACGTAAAGCTCCATTAAATTGCAGCTGTACTGCTTGCATCCATAGAATCTGAGGAATCCTGCGCGCTCGAATCACCCAAAAGTGTCAGAGCCTCAACCCTAAACCCTAAACATCCTTAAACCCTAACCCTTTTTTAAAACTCCAAGCTCTAAATACCTAGAGCTCACTACGCAGCTCCTGGAGGCAAGCTGCGCAGGAACTGCCCTAGTCGGCAAGAGCTGCTACTTTTGCGCCGAGATCTCATGTGCATCGGGGGTGTAGGGCTTGAGAGCTTTCTGCAGGACTTTATGAGGTTAGGAACGCTTAGATGGAAGCCTGGAAAATTTGCATGTATTTTTTAATATGGTTCCTGAGGTGTGTAAGTTTGCAGTAAGATATGATAACCCTAAACCCTAAACCCTAAACCCTAAACCCTAAACCCTAATGATATGCCCCGAAACCTTGGCCTTGAATTGCTTAGTATCTGCAAGATCTAGGGCTCGGGGACAGGTGGTCCTGGGGTGCACCTTGGGAAGTGTGTTTCAATTGCGTTTTCCGGAGTGTTCATGTCTCTTGCAAGTTCAGGGCTTAGAGCCTTTCAAGGTGTTGATACTTTCGGTCTGTATAGGGTTAAATTTAGGGTTCGGGGTTTAGGGTTTAAGGCTTTAGAGTTTTAGGGCTTACATAGACCTTTGGGGCAGCTGATTTGAGGTCTTGGGGCTAGAAGGTCATGGTTGGGAACTCTTTGCGATGATCTGCCGGATTGGCCTAGGGGAAGATCGGGTGCTGACGGCGCAGGGTATGGGATTGAAAGCCCTCAAATTGAATCAGTCAGCCCCAAACCTTGCAGCCTAAGCCCAAACCTCAAACTTCAAACGAATTCAGCCCTAAACTACTGCAATCTAAACCGTATACGAATCGTGAGCTTGAAGCCGTACAACCCACTCAAAGCGCAGACCCGAAACAGCAAACGGAGAACCCCAAGCCTTAAATCGCAAACCGAAAACCTATGAATCCTCAACTAACACACCTACAAACCTCATCCCGAGAGCAAGAACAGCTCAGTACTCGGCTGATGGGCAGGTTCTGGTGGGACCGACATCGCTTCCACAGCAAGTGGGAGAGACTTGGTGGTGTTTTTTTTTAAGACCCCTGTATTCCTTCACCCATTGAAGTATGGAATACTCCTTCAAACCATAGCGAGAAGCCGCGACGTGCATTCAATTTTGGACACCCGTCGACGATTTCGGATACACTTAACCTTAACCCTCCAGGTACCTACAACGTAGGGCCCTAGGGGCTATAGTACCCTATATAGTAGGTACCTGGCTTGAACTTTTTGTCATCGATGCAGAGCATAGCATCCTGTCCTTTAGCAGAGCCAAGGAAGCTTCGCACGGCTTTCGATGGCACCGTGTGCCCTGGATGAGGGGTTAGGGTTGAGGGTTTGGAAATCACCTAGAGCCCCTACGGGGCAGAACACTAACCAACCCGAACGACTTTCAGACGAATTCTCAAGTCTGGCTGCAGTCAATTCCTCGTGGCTGCAGCTCTTCTGCCCCTGTCGCAAAGGAATTGACACAGTTGTCTTTCAGATGCTAAAAAATATGTTGTTTCAGACATGTCCAGGCTTGGTTGCACGTGCACTAGACGAGCACGGCATGCCACATATTTCTCTGGTTGGGCTACCGTACCGTAGGCATGCTGCTGCTCACGCTGAGGCAAGCCGTCGAACTTTGCCGCAAGCTCCAGCGTCCACGCGCGGTTGTGCATACTATCTTGAAGTTTGTTGTTTAAGCCTTCTCTGCTGTAGAGATATGTTAAAGGCAGACAGAGTGAAGATGCAGTTTACGAGACCACGCTGTCTGACTGCAGCTTGTTCGGGGTTTCAAGTATTCGGCTCGTGCTTTCAGCCAAGCAGTGATACCGTTCCTGAATGCAATAACTAATGATGCAGACGGCTGTGTCCTCGATGCATGCATCCTTGCCGTCGTTTGCTGACGATACTCAAAGCCGTCTGGTGGTGGTGATGATGATGATGATGATGGTGAGGCTGATGACGGGCATCAGCATTATTGCCGTGATCTGCATCATCAGGGTCATCATCACTACCCTCCTCCTCCTCCTCATTCGCCATCAGCATCATCATCACCTTAGTCATGCTGACCCTTGTAGTGGTTGCTGCCGCTTACTCGTTCTTGTATTCCTCACCAGTCTACTCCTATGTACTCCTACTTCTGCTCCTTCTCCTGCTTCGCCTCCTCCTCCTCCTTCTACCACCACTACAGCTACCACGACCACTCCACTACCACTGAGTACCATTAAAACGCCTCCACCACCACAACGACGAATGGTACTGCCACGACTGGTACTGCCACTACAACTACTAGCACAACGACCACTAAGACCAGCACCACCACCACGACGGCTACTGCGCTGCCAAGGCAACTTCACATTCCCAAGACTGCTGGGTCGGCCATGAAGGAGTGGGCCGAGACGGCAGGCAGCCAAATAGCCGAATTTTAGGGTCACAGGCTTTACGGCGCAGTGGTCAGACTTTAGTCTAGAGGCGTGTGTCTGATGGGCTCAGACATGCAGCAGAGAGGCCTTCTAGGTTTACATTCTTCAGGGTGTAGCGGACATGGGGGTCTACCAGGTCCCAGATCATGGGTACTACATTTAAGGTCTCATAGAGGCTAGATAGGGTTGAAGACTTTTGGGAGGTCGGTGGTGAGTGGGGATATTGGAGCTACCAGTTCCGGGAAAAGAGCCCTGTTGATGTAAGATCGAAACATAGGCTGCAGGCTTCGTTCGTACCGTAAGCTGTTGCGGAGGAACCTAGAGGCTTTGCAATCTGAACTAAAGGAAACTACAGGTGGGGAGTTTACGGTATATAGGGCTTCTATAAGGCTTCCATAAGGTACGTATATAGACCTTCTATAAGGCTGCAAAAACGGTAACTACCCACCTGAAAATGTCCTAGACTTAAAACACCGGACGAGCACCAACCCTAAACCCTAAACCAAATCTTCTTACGCCGGAGAAATGCCCATGCCTTTGGGCCTTTGGGTTTATGGGCGAAGCCGCCAGTAGCTTATATCCCTCAGGCCTTTGTGGCAGCTTCCGGGCCGTAGGGGTTTTAGGGTTTTTTTTAGGGGGGTTAGGGTTTAGGTTTTGGGGTTTGAGGTTCAAGTCTCCATTTTTCGGGTTCAGGGTGAGAGTTTAAGCTTGGGACTCAGTGGTCATAAACCCTCCAAATAACATTCAAAACTAAGACTTGACATGCAGGTCTCGTAAGATGGGCCGCGGGGCAATCTGGGCCCTGAACTGACATGTTGTTTTAGAATGTGTGTTTTTTTGAGAGGGGGGAGGCTGGATTTGGGATTATTCTTGTGTGGTGGAAGACAAGTTGAGTACACTCCACAACTTAAGCCCGCAACCCTAAACCTCTGAACCCTAAACCCCTAAAGCCCCAGACTCTTTGTCTTGGAGGTTTCCGAGTGCTGGACCAGACTCAGCAGATCAAGCAAGGTGATGGTCCCTACTGGTCTCTAGCCGGAATGCAGGCTTTCGGATGTAGGGTTAAACTTAATTAGGGAGGGTGATCAGGGCTGCAATGACCTGTATCTATTCTGCCGGCCGAGTGCATGCAGGCTGGTTTGCGCAATGAAACCCGGAAGTCGTCTGGGACACGGTGCACATGCTGGCTTTTTCTAAAAGCCCCCGAACCCCCGCTGAACAAGCATCAGAATGAGAACAGTCAAGCCTGAACCAAGCAGACCCAAATGTCATCGTAGGAATGTTTGTGCCAATGACGGGGCAAACACTAAGGGAGGGACTTTTTCGTTTCTACCTGGCACTAAGACTTGGTCTCAACAGGACCCAGAGGAATACCCGCAAGGCCATGAAGCATGCTGACAAGAATAATGGGTTTACGAACAATAATAGGACTCGCACTAACAAATGCCCTCTTTCGTTGGCAATGGTAGCAAACAGGACGAATGCACGCGGACGCCTCCAAAGCAAATCATACCCCTTACGGTAGCCCTGGTAGAGCCCCTATTCCCGTAGCCTATAAGCCTACGGACTTTAACCCTAAACTCTAAACCCTTATGGTGGATAACCCCATTCCCCAACCCCCCGACTTGAACTGAAAACCTGGTACCTCTGCACCCCTTACAGAACCCCTATACCAGGATTGGCACTGCTGGCATTCCAGGATCTTGCCGCGCGGCGACATTATGGCCAGACTATCCGGAATGGTCACGGTTGAGGCTTTTGGTTAGTGAATTTCTGGGTCATCCAAAAGTTTGAGTTTCGAACATGCAGAAAGAGGAATCCTAAGATGAACGAGAAGGACAGATGGGCAGTGATACGAGTATTGGGGGAAGCGAAGAGCCACAGTGCGACTGCAACCTAGGTCTCCAGCTTGAACTAAAGGGTGGGCGTAACCTCTGTAGCGGTTTTGGTCCCTGAGTTTGTTCGCTGACACAATACCCCCACAAAAGCTGTCGGGAAAGCACGGTCAAGACCTGATGTGCCAGTTTCCTGCATTCTTCAAACTGGCAAGCAACATGATGCCACTCGCATCCGATTGAGAAAATCACTATGAACAAGATCCAGATCGGCCGTGCTGATTGACAGTTGGCATTCACCCTGAACCCCAAACGTCTCAGTAGACGTTAGCCCCCTGAACCCGAAACCGTTTCCCTAGGTTCGAGTTCGTCTCTTGCTTCACTCGAGTTTGAGCCTACCTTTCCCACCCACAACAAGCAAAAAGAAGCAGTAACCTCTATAAACCCTTAAGCCCATAGATCCCTAAATTTCTAAACCCTAAACGCTAAACCGCTTATATCCTAAACCCTACAGGTTGACAACCCTAAAGTTGACTTCCACAGGTGTCAGGTTCAAGGAAGTATCACGGCCGGGACCCACTTGGCGTAAAACTGTGAAGCCTGCGATGCGGCACATGCAATTTCATGCGTCGCAACACCAGCAGACACATGTTCTCTGTGGCTTTGTCACAATAGCGCTTGTGCTTGAATACATGGTACATCGCATGTCGCAGAGATCCTGGAGGATTGTGTCTACCCGTCTACCACCTGATAAATGCCCACTCATACACATGCATCCTATATATGAGTCTATGCAGCATGCACATATGTTCTTGAGTGTATGTTCATGTACGGCATCATTTGATGTGCAAAAAGTCATGAGGTCGCCAGCGAGTGCGAGAGAACAGGGATCGGAACACCACGTGGGTGGCCGTGGAGCGATGGCTGGATTTGTGGCTCTTCTCCATGCCGAGATCTCGGGTTGAGTTGAGGCCGGTCTGGTGGGGCTTCCGGACCCAGAATTGTTCGTGACATTCGCGCTTCGCGCGGTGCAGACATTTCATTTCAATTTTAGGCTTCTGTGTAGGGTTCATGTGCTCCTGCAAGCCGTACCCTGCGTGCTGCACCCCGAGAGTCAGCTCTTGTAAAGTGCCGCGCAAGTGTCCCTTGTGGCAGCCCTGGACTTAAGCCTCAAACTCCAAACCGCTAAACCCCGAAAAGTCCTAAACCCTAAACTGGCCCTAAACTTTAAGCCGTTGAAGCAAGACAACTGACAGAGCAGTCTGTGTGTGTGTGGGGCCGTAGCAGGATATCGAGCGACTTAAGCGCACGACCCGGGGTGTTTCACCCGTGTCCTGACACACCCTAAAGCCCTGATAAACCCTAAACCGACAACCCTAAACCAAAAACCCTAAACCCCAAACCCTAAACCGAAAAACTTTAAGCCCTAACCATCAAGCACTACCAGAAAGCCCAAGCCCTGAGCCCGCAACCCAACAACCCCACAGCCCTAAACTCTACGACCGTACACTCCGTGAGCCTGAACTTGCCGGATTTACCACATTTGGGAATCGATGACAGAGCAAAGGATGGTGTCGGGTCGACATTTCGGCAAATGGTTGCGGGTTTAGGTTTTTTGTTGTCAACCTTTGTTTCGACAGGAGTATTCTTGAATCAATCAATGGCTTCACGCGTCTTGGTGGAATCTGAGGCCTTTGTGCGATGACTTCCAGAAGCTTTGAATGCAAGAAGCTATCTTTCTGGGTTTGGGTTTGAGGCTTCAAACATCATCGATTTGCATTTTTATTTCCGGAGTTTGTGTTTCGGGGGTAGGGTCTGGGTCGTTAGGCATATCTAAACCCTAAACCCCTAAACCCCTAAACCCCTAAACCCTAAACCCTAAACCGTATCCGCTGCCGTCTGAGTCGAAAGGGCGAAGCTGCATGCTGTTTCAGCCCACCAAGCACCGCGAATCTTCAGCCCCAAACCGACCCCGTATGGGCTTCCTTCACACGAGCCTCCGGAGCTTTTTGTAGTCAGGAAGCTTTAGCACGCGGCATCATCATACTACCCAGGATGTTAGGGGATTATAGGCTCTAGGACTCTAGGATTCTAGGGTTTGGGTTTTATTTTGGTTAGAGCTCTAGGATTGCTTGGCCCTTCGTGAAGGTACGTCGTCGCACTTCGGGAGCCTGTCATGCGTACGCTGCACCTCGACGCTACTTCAGCCTAGCCGGGCTTACCGTCAAGAGATACTCGGAAGCTTTGCGTGAGAGTCCTGGAGAAGTGCTGGAGAGTGAGGGCATCTGGAGTGGAATTTCGCTTCGGGTTAAAGTTTAGGGTTTAGGGTTGCAGGTGCCTAAAGCAAGCCCTGAAGCGCAGATTTCGGTGCCCATGTACAACACAACTCAACCTCCCTGGGCGCAGCATGAGCCCGCGTCTGACTGCTACGGGAAAGTGACGAATGCTCAGGCAAAGAAGAAGCAGAAGTAGCTATGGCTACGACTACTGTGACACAGTAATCCGAGAAGCCCATTCATCTGTATGCAGATACAGCCGTAGTGCAGCAGTCCATTATGTAGCGAAGTGGGGGCTTCTAGGGGCCAGAGCCACCATCGAGGTGCAAGATGATGCAAGACAAGGTTCTTTTCTAGGAGTGTGCAGCCGCGCCTTATTAGGGCCGCTGTAGATTTTTTGGCTGAGGATTTCAATTAAAATCTTTCAAAACTCTAAACCCTGAAACCAGGGTCCAAACCCTAAAACCCCAAACCTAGGCATCAGTTTTCGCACAAGCTCTCTTACTTCCGACCCTCGGCAGGCTATTCGTGCTTGTCTTGCACCCGTAGGTTTAGTTTAGCATGTCGGAGCCCCATAAGCTCAAGGCTCCAAAGGTAGGCTAAGAGTTTTGGGTTAGGGTTTCCTTTGTTTGTTAGGAGCTTAGTGTTGAGGGTTTAAAGGTTTCGGTTTTTAAGGGGTTTAATAAAAGAAAAGGACATTGTGGAGGCCTGCGTTGCGTTCTGTAGGTTTAGCTACTTCATGCGTTTCGTGAGTTTGTGCTCGCCCTGCGATCTATTGATGTGACGAGTTCTAGAGCAGGAACTAGGGTCTAGGGTTTACTTCTTTCAAGTTGTTTAGACTGTTTGGAGCGATGCTGTGTCTGCCTTTCCGGGCCAACGTCCCGTGCCCGGATGAGAAGCGCTTTAGAGATCTTTAGAGTCTTTAGAGTTTTTGGATGAGGGGATTTTGGCGCTCTGAGATTTCGGGTTAGGGTAGCTCCCCATGTAGCAACACGCCTTAGCCACTGCTCGCTTCTGCTGAAGTTGTGGACTGAACTGCGGCCCACCAAGCCAAACAGGAAGATAAGATCGCGGTCTGAGTAGTTCGTGATCATTTTCCTTCTGGTCGCTATAGTTGTACCGTGCTCCGACAATCCATTCCAAAAAGTCTGGCTTCTCGATGCCAGACTTTAAACTAAAGAGAAGGAGCGGGCCGCCTTACAGCCATCCCGAAACTCCAAGCATGGAGCCCTTCGTACATTATAGGGGCCTCAATGCTCAAAATGGGCTTGGGGTATACTAAACTATACCATAGACATTATAAGGAACCCCTAAACCCCGATTCTAATTATTGAGGCCCTTACCTTATTGATATCGTGTTGTCTCGCAGTTGGGTCACACCCAGGAGACTTCTTGCCATCGGGAAGGCTCCCTTGGCAAGCTGCCAGATGTGAGATCGAATTCGGGCTTTTTCGTTCTTTTGGTTTAAGGGCTACGGTGGGAATTATGTGATTCCTTGTCGTGCGTTTTCGCAGTGTAGTCTGCAGTCTCGGCGTGGGTCCAGCGTTTACCTTGTCAACAAAATCTGGGACTCAGCCATTCGTCTGCAGCATGGATTCTCAGCCCTCGTAGCGCTGCTATTAAAACACACATCTCAAAGCAGCCTAAACATGATTTCTTCCACGACTACAACTGCGACCAAACTACGAACGCAACAACGAGGAACGCGACCATGACCACGGCCACAACGACGACGACTTCATCAACGACCAGGACGACTACCACGACGATGAGACGAGTAACACGACTAGGACTACGACAACGACAACCGCGATGATGCTACTGCTATTGCGACGACAGCTACTACTAACACCACTACACTCTGCTTTGTGCTGCAGTAGCAACGACAAGCAACACCACTCCATTCGATTACGACGCCGTTGTCAATGTCGGCATCCAGGTATGAGCAGATCGAGAATCTGGAAGGTCAGCTTCGCTCGCTGTGGACCTACGAGGAATGCGATGCTTCCTTGTCATCATCATTGCATGTCCTACCTTCCCAAGCCGTCTTTACTGCAATTACCATCCTAATGCTCAGGTTTTTGTACGAGTGTTCAAGCACGGGTCACGGAGGTCTTGTCCCAGCCTCGCATCTCATCATGCCATGAAGCGTCCCTCCACCTTTGGACCTTGCCAGGTCCTTCCCGGATGCCTGAATTTCCTTGCCCGTTTCCTTGGAGTTGGAGACCCCAACCTCCTCATGGATAGTGCCTGGTACCAACTAACCCACAACCTCCTCTCGGCAACGCGAGGAGCTGGGCCACTTGCTTAGAGGGCGGCGCCGTTCCCGTCTCCTTCTGGGGAAGGAACCATGGCCGGTCTTGACACCTAGGCGGCCCTGCTATCCTAAACCGGAATACCCAGATGCTCCAAAACCCCTGAATTGAGGAATATACCATAATATACCTTAAATCATTCTGGGGTTGCCATTCACTGTAATTTAATTAAGGTATATTATATATTCCTTAGGTAAGGGGTTTTTTGGAGTCTCTTGGAACGCCGGCTGAGGAGCTGTCAGCGAATCGAAGTTTGTCGTCGGAGAGGTGGCCAGCGCCGTGAGCAGCGAAAGAGGTTCAGGGTTATAAAGCTTCGAAGCATCATCTCCATCTCCATCGACTACTGATACTACTACTACTACTACTACTACTACTACTACTACTACTACTACTACCACAACTACAGTACCACGAAGAACTGCAACGCTGTCGACGACCTGCCAGGTAGGTGACAAACTACTACCACGACGATGGCGACGACGACGACGACGACGATTACTACTACTACTACTACTACTACTACTACTACTACTATTGCCCCTACTCAAGGATCTTAGGGCAGGTCTCAAGGATGGGTTGCTTGAGAAGCGCCAGGACTCCTGAGTTTCTTGAAATCATGTATAATCTCCGTCATGGAGTCGTTTCGAGTATCCTTTGTAAGGCTAACAAAAGCAAATATAGATATAAATATATATATATATATATATACACACCTTTATAATGATATACATATGCATACATCTATGTATATATATATATATGTACATACACATAGAAGTATGTATGTATGTATGTATGTATGTATGTATGTATGTATGTATGTATGTATGTATGTGTGTATATATATACATACAAGACAAGGCAACACATAAAAGGATCTACCATGGATTCCAATGCAGACGAGAAGATAGAATAGACCAATGAGCGCAAGCATGCTCATCAGCCGTCCTCCTTCTGGGCAAGAGGTTTTGGGTTTTTTGGGGTGTGGGGCTCACGTACGTGGCTGCAGTTTGTGTGCCACACTCTCATTCATGCGAAAGTCCAGACCCGCAGGTGCTCTGGCTCAAACAATGCATCGCTGAAGACACGATCTTTTTTTAGTATTACATTTTGAACCGTTTTCGTTTCGCCAGTGCCAACTCAGAATCTAGAGAAATCAGACTTTAACGGACCAAAATTGGCTGGGATTGCCTACCCCTCACGAAACTCACCCGGATATCCCCAGGACGCTAACCTCCAAGAAAGCATTCAATACGCACTGAATGCGAAAAAGCTCTTTCTCAGCTGCTCTAACTGTTCAAACCCAGCGCTCAGTAGGCAACTCTGAACGGCTGTATACATTCCCGACGTCAAGTACTGTTTGTGTTGTATAAGAGGTTCAAGTGTGTGGATGTAGGGCTCCTTTTGTGTTTGGCTGTGTGCACCTTCTTGGTTCTATGATAGGGATGCGAGTCACAAACACCCCGTTTTGCACGATCTCAACGGGTCACTTTTGAGTTCCTAGAAGCCGGAGAAGTAGACTCAGAATGCGTTTTCAATCATTACCCAAACAGAACACCCTACGGTCCTACAGTTCCTATATGTTTAGAATGTACTCCATTCTACATCTGGTGTCCCCTATCTAAAGAAAGGTCGACTGGCTGGAGCTTTGGATGGGGATGTCCAGCAACTACCAGGCTCTCCGCAGGGATTTCAGAGGTGTAGTGTTTGGGTTCACCTCAAAAGTCCACCCCAACAAATACCACTTCATTGTAGGTTCCCTACAATCTCCAGCACGGCTACAGTCCGATATCCGACAAGCCCACTCCAAAAGGCTCCACCTATGCACTCTGGCGTAGCTCTTTCTGGGTCAACCAGTGAACCACATGCATGGCCAGGTTCCCTAAGCACGATATGATCCAAATACTCTACCCCCAAACCCTTTTCAGGATACTCAGGCGCTTGTATTCAAGCCTCAAAATTCCTGAAGCCCTTGCTATAGAGCCCTTGAAGGAACCCTATTCAAACTATGAAGGGCCCCCGTAAACCTTGAGACCCGCATGCCAGGTGCGAAGCCTAGCTGGCAAAGGAGGCCGAAAGCAGTTTTTGGAATGGGGCTCGTCGTGTTGGGCTTTAGGGTTTAGGGCTTAGGTGTAAACAAAGGGGTTGAGGAAGCTCTTGGATCATGGACCAAGAACCTCTTTACATACCTTTGATCTCGGAACCATACATCTTTTCATGAGAGTCCTGCAGGCTGAGCCTTGAACCGTCAACCCGGAGCCCTAAACCGCCAACCAGGAAGCCACCTCTACCACCCAACAGAACCCAGAAGCCACAACATGCAAAGAGAGGTGCCTCGGCCGGTTTTTTTAGTGATGGTACCTCAACACCAGGATGCCAAGAGGTCTTTTAGGCTGTTATTTAGGGTTTAGGGTCGAGGGGGTTTAGGGGTCTAGGGCTCTAGGCCGTTATCGTGATAATGAGCTCACACCCCCTAAGAGGTCCCTTATAAGCTAAGCTAAGCCCCGTCCGAGTTGAGAGATTCTAAATCCCCCAAACCATCCCTGAAACGTAAATCCCAGAGCCTCGAAGCTCAAAGACTGTTATGGAATCGGTTTAGGGTTTAGGGGTTAGGGGTTAGCACAAGCCTTGATGCAAAAAGGGGTTAGTTAGGGGTTTGGGGTTGAGGGTTACAGAACCCAAGACTCAATACCAGAAGCTCAAAAACACGCCGAGAGGTGGTGCTGCCTACCTGGAACGTGGAGAGCTCGCAGCGAGGCGCCTCGCAGCTGCGAAGCGAGTGCTCGCAGAGTATCTCTGCGTGAAATTTCGGCATTTATGGTTGTGCGTGTAGGGCTGTAGGGCCAGAGGGGCTGAAGGGTTCGAGCTATAGGGTTGATTTAGGTGCTTATGGTTTGTCTTTATAGGGCTTGCGAGGTCAGTGGTCTACAAAAAAGTAAAGAGGGCTCGTGGCGGCTTTTTATCAGGGCTTCTACTTCATACGGGGTGCGAGAGCTCTATATGTTGTCTCAGAGTTTCAAAAGGGTGATTGTGTTTCAACAGGGTTTGTTTGTGTAGGATTTGAAACATGGTGCCTTGCTATCTTTTGTTATGGGGCTTTGAAGTTAACTTAGGGTTCTTTATGATAGGGACTCGTAGGACGCTAGGGTGCCAGGGCTTTGAGGGCTTTGGGTTTAGGGATTCTGCTGCTTTCTCCTCTTCCGGTGTCAGGGTGTGGGAGGTAGGTTTCAGGTCGCCTTCAGGCGACTGCTGGAGTCCTGATGCAAACAAGTCTGTAGAGTTTAGGGTTTAGGGTTTAGGTGCTGATGCAAACAGGTCTGTAGAGTTTAGGATTGAGGGTTTAGGGTTTAGGGTTTGAACTGCTTCAGGGAGAGTGGCGAGTTCTTCGCGTAAGGCTGCGGTTGTGGAGCCCCAGGTGAAGAACAAAATAATCCGTCAGGGTTCTGGGCTTTGGGTTACGGTTGCGGGGCAGCGTATGCCTACACTGCCCGATGTTCTATTTCATGTCGGCGACATGGAAGCCACGTGGTTGCACGGGCCGTCACAAAACGGGACTATGCACACCCATCAACAGACAGCCCCGGCCCAACACCAAAAAAGCCGAAAGTCCTGAAGCCAAAACCGTCAAAGCTTTGAGCGGCGAGGCCTGAAACTGCAACTTTCCCAGCTCCTCCATCGAGAGTTCCATGGAAGAAACCCCATATCGCTCAGCGTTCACAGCCCAAGCCTAATCCCGAAACACGAAAGACTTTATTCCTAAACTCAACCCTGAAGACCTTGAACCAGAAGACCCCCGAACCCAGAAGACCCCCGAACCCCCAATTTCCAAACACTAAACCCAGAACCCTACGATCTAATCCCACTTAAACGAGACTAGATACGAGGTTCGATGTTGTTCTGTCGGTTGGCCGTGGCGGTGTGGATCGAAGCCAGGAGGACACACGCCATGCGACTGCCTAGGGAAACCGAATGAGGCTGTAGCGTATAGGGCTGAACAAGGGCTTAGGGTGTTTAGGGTGTAGGGCGCAGGGTTTGCGGTTAAAGGTCTCAGGCTTAGGGCGTTACGATGTTCGTGTTTAGGGCTTAACTGATTGCATGGGTTCTTTCTACTTGTAGGTGGATAACAGTGCTCTGTGCTCCCAGATTTCATGGAGCCGTAGGTAGGATTTAGGGCTGAGGTAGTCTTTCCCGGAAAGCCCAACACCATCCAACTGCCTTAACACAGGACAACTCAATCAATAAACTTCAAACGATTGCAGGTTCTCATGGCCTCTGCCGCCAAGGGTCCGTGTACGTACCTTGTGTCAAAGTACAGACACTACATTTCATGGGCACGTGGACCCCTAAGGTACAAGAAGAGCTGCTTTCACGAAGTTTTCCCGGGGTACAAGCAAAACCGTAGTTTGGCGTTATTTCATCCCTAAACCCTAGAACCCTCATGCAGGGGTTGTCAACACATGGACCACGATGGCCGCTTAGGGCGACAGAAATTGCAACCAGGACCTGCCAAGTATCCTCCCCAAAAACGGCCTCCTAGATATGTTTACTAGTAGGTCTTTAGGATGTCGGTTTAAGGTATTAGGGCTTTGGGTTTAGGGTTTAAGGCATTAGGGTTTAGGGGATTAAAGTGTTTTGGGGTATCCTAAACCCTAAACCCTAAACCCTAAACCCTAAACCCTAAACCCTAAACCCTAAACCCTAAACCCTAAACCCTAAAGCAGGGCAGTTGGAAGCCCCAAGTCGGAGACCTGTCCGCTGGATCTTGCACCGTGCGCTCAATGTAGGGGCCTTAAGAATTAGAATTGGGTTTTGGGGGTACATTATGCTATACTTATAAAACGACCCCCCTCCAAAAAAGAAATATATGTATATATATATATATATATAATATATATATATATATAATATAGATGGTTAAAGCCCCTACATTAGGCTCAGCCACGACAAAAGAAAGCCCAGCCAGGAGTTACTCTGGCAGGGCTTACATATGGAGTCTCGTGGACACACGGCCACTCGGAAACAGCCTGCGGGTGGAGGGATCGTTGCAAGCACAGGTAATTCCAGGAACCATCACAAGACTAGGCAGTCCAATCGTCGATCCTACTTTCACCACCACCACTATTGTTCTTGCTACTACGACTACGACGACGACTGTCGAGCTTGGAACTAGATTGAGATGAGTTGCTTTTTGGGGGTTTAGGGTTGAGGGGGATTAGGGTTGCGGGTTTAAGATGCAGCTTGGGATATACTGGCAAATCACCTGATGGGCTCCTTGTTTGGGGGCCGCAGAAGCAGTTTCTCGTTCCGGTAGCGGTATCACCCTAAGAGGTTTAAGCCTCCAAGGCCGCTGAAATAAAGCGTCTTCCCTCATATGGGTAGGTCTCGAAATCGGGGACCCTCTTTCAGGTCCCCAAATTAGCATGGCACCCTTATGAAAAGGAACGCAAAAGGGACCCTAATTTAAAGAATTATCCATATCATACGGGATCCTTGCCAGAGGACCCTTATCTGAGGGATGCTGGGCCTCGGGAGCCGGCTATTAGGCCGACAGCTATTTCAAGAAATGACAGCTGCAGGCGCGAATTGGCTTCCCCTTCGTTTCCCACTTCAAGTTCGGAGCCTTTCCTGCCATGGAGGGTGTCTTGTGTAAAATGGGGTTTTGTACTCTTTTCTAGAAGGTTCAGGGCTGACAGGGATCTACATCAGGGGCTTTGGTGGGTGTATATAGGGCTCTATCCGGGTAAGTTTTACCATAGATACTGGTACTTACTTCACATGGGACTCATGGAAACTACGCGGCAGCCTGTGCAAGGGTGCGTCTTATCAAGCCCGAAGCCTGATATCGAGCTCCTAGGCTCGAAGAGGGTGGCTTAGAGGGGGCAGGGTTCAGAGATAAGGGGTCTTAGACTCTAGGGTTTAGGCCTCTGACTTTGGGGTTTTGAGAGTTATTGAGTTGAAACTTCACGGGTTATCCCATAGGGTTGGAAGTGACCAAGCCACCTCACGGCTGCAGATGGTTGGTGTAGAATTAGAATTCGGTGCATCTTTATAATTGGGGCGAATTCGGCCAGGAACCACAAAAGCCCATAGCTGAGAATCAGGTGTCGTATACCCCAAATGCCGAACGAATTGCACCCAACCTGCGGAAAACACTATCAGCAGACCCCATACCATAGCACGCGCTTGAAAGTCCGATATGTGGGCCTCAGAAAAAGCATTCATATTTAGCATCCCTTCTCGTTCCTGCATAAGAAGTCAATTGCAACACTTCAAATTCAACCCTGTTATATATTGGAGGGCCTACATTACTCCCTGCAAGTTACAAACCCTGCAAAACCCGTGTAAGACCCCACGGCAACCCTGATTACAGAACCCTTGCAGGAACACTTTAACTTCTAGAGCCGTGGAAGCCTTTGAACCTGCTGGGACTCTGCGCAGAAAACCCCTAGTTGCTCTGTCCACAAGAAAGGAACATGGGGCTTGGCAAGTGAGGTGCATGTTCAATACCGAATTGGGGCTATAAGTAATGAAGAGTCTAGTTGCTTTTTATCTTATGTATCGCACTACCTAGACCCAAAAGGCTCTGAATTGAAGTATTGTTTTGGTTACTATTTGTGTCTTATGACAGAACCCTGCTATCATAGAATGGGCTATCCAAAGAAGGTACTACTTCTAAGGTGTAGGCAGTCTAGGCAGTTGCTCAGTCCCATGCTCGTGTTGGAAGGAGACGATGAGCCGCAGCCTTTCCGCTTCAACCTCGTGATTCTTGGCCTGTCTTGGGTCTTTGGGTCCAGGGACTCGTGTGCTTAGCGTTCAGGGTGCAGGGTTGAGGGTCTCAGATTTTGGGACTCGGATGGTGTCTAGGGCATAGGATGTCTAGCTTTCGATGGGTTTTGACTTTAAGACCTAGTGGTGTTGCTGGAAAGACAGTGGTAGGAAACATGGTAGTTGTTAGACTTGATATGGTCATAAGTTGCGATGATGTGTGTCCGGGCGCATGTTTCAGAGCTTGGAGAAGCGAGGGAAACAAGGACTAGTGTTGCCAATTTGGTAACCTTCATCACTCTCGACTGCAAACAACTAGAAATAGAGCCATTTGTGCATGTTGCTCTATTCGCCCAGCGGATTGAACTGGGCAAGTGGGACACATCGGTTCCCCAGGAGGGTCTGAGTGCTTTCCCAGGAATCTTACCTGGCCCTCGCGGTTGGAGCTGCAGCCCCCGGGCTTGAAAGGCTTCGTTTTGTTGAAGGGGTGTTCGAGCTTTGCCTAGGGAACCGAGAAACCTCGTTATCCTAGGTTACAGTATAAGCCCCCTGTATGATGCCAAGACCGAGCTCTTCATGATCGTCAACGCGAAACCACGATCCCTCCAACAAAAATCGACCAGCCCTGTTGTTACGAGCAGTACCCTCAACCCTAAACCATAAACCCTAGTAAGCCAGTGCATAGGTCGATGGTTTTCCAGGGAATCCAGAGGCCTCTTCTTTTCGAAGCGCAGTATGCCCAACCTTTAGAAGCTCGGTTTGGGGCTTTCTTCAACCCTCAACCAAACCCCCGATCCCTCCAGTGTCATCACAGATGCTTGTCGATTCGCCGGATACGGTTTGTACGTTTTGGACTTCACATTCAGGATGGAGATCGGATGGGCAAGGGGTTTCCCTGTGTTGAGGACTTTAGGGACGAGATGTGGGCTGTGTTCAGCTTTGTCGCAGGGGGCAGTCTCCGAGTGTGGAGGTGTAGATTGCTTAGGACAGATGGAACCCTCAAGCCTGAAACCCTGAAGCCCTAAACCCGCGTACCAGGAACATCGCCTAGGCAAGTCCGAGAGTGAGTGCTGAAACCCTAATTTAGGCCCTGTGAAACCCTAGAGCCCGGAGCTCTACAGCCGAAGCCCGTAGCAATAGCAGTGAATGGAGAAGACTTTATGTGGGGGCCTCAATAATTACCTATACTGTTTTTTTTTTTTTTTTTGGGGGGGGGTCCTTTTTTTAAAT